TGAATGATTGCTTTTGACTGTGCAGAAGTGAGTACTGTTCTGAGTCTACCATCTTCTATACCCATTGATACGTAGCTGCTACTAGAGTCCCTGATTATCTGTTAGATGTCCCCCTGTAGGAGCTCACAGGGACTACTGCTGTGTATGATTATTGGCAGCATCACCAGGAGCAGAATGGATTATTTTTCTTTGCCTTTTAATCTGGTGGGGATGTCATTGACAGAATCTAATAGGAACTCACTGTGTCATATTGTTAGTGAGTGTCCAAGCATTTGAACTTGTTAATGTAAGGTCCTAGAACTGCCTATGTCTGCAGAAGGTAAAAATGTTTCTCTAGGTTTCATGCAAAGTATTGTGGAAATTTTAATGATCTTTACCACATTTAAAAATGTAGCTTAGGTCATATTATCTTGGTGTTAAATGCAACTGAAATTCTGAATCCAGCTAGGAAGTTGCAACTAGCAGGGACTTGACATTGTGCTATATATTTGGCAAGAAAGCTGAAGAATTGGTTTGTTTCTGTAGTACATGTTGTAAATCCATTCTAAATCTGAATGACATTTTCAGCTGTAGGTGGTTTTTGTCCAAAACATTTAAATAGTAAACTATTAGTTTAATTGAGCGTGTTTAATGTTATATATAAATGTACCTATAAATGTATTCCTTATTAAGAAAATAAGGGGATGCCAGAATTGTGTACAATTTTTTCCTCCTTATATATCAAATAAAGGAAACCTGTGGAAACACTGAAAACTAGGGGAAAGTTTCTATATACCTAAAATTTTAAGGAATCTCTCCTAAGAACTATTTCAGATCAAACAAAGGAAGTAGAGAGCTCTCATTTCCAAGACTGAGGAGAGCTGGATGGTTTTAATGGGAATACAGGACTCCATTAAACACCCTGTTGAAGGTGTTGGGACTGAAGAACAGCAATCAGCTTGGGGTTCTTTTCAGCCAGTGTCATTTAAAACCACCCTTATAGGGAAACCCAAGAGCGAATCCTTTCTTCCAATTCCACTTCCAAGTTGCAGCAAGCACTGGGAACACCTTTGAGCTACAGTAGATGTCTACAGTGAAGGGTGAACCATGGAAAAGCTGCGCAGTGACCCAGCCCGCCTTGCTACAGTAAACTGGACCCTTGAATTTATGTTATTTTTCAGGCTTTTGTGTTGAGTACAGTGTAGTCATATCTTACATGGGGTTAGGTTCTAAAGTTAATATGACAAAAAAAAATCACATATAACTAAAATCACTCTTGAGAATATCCTAGGGAAGACATAATCATACTGGAGACTGCCCCATCAATTCTCAGTAGGGCAGTTAAGTCACTTTTTTGTCCAGTGTTTGAACTGGACAGGGTGATTCTTAAGTTTAGTGCCAGCTGAGGTAATAAGCTTGTGTTGTAGGGGCTGAGTTTTTAAACACTATAGTGATAAACAGCATGTTGATAAGTTTACAGTCTGAAAGATACCCAAGGATAGAGACTAGTGTGGGAATGGTAGAATTGCACATATACCTCACACTTGACCTCTCTCTCAGGCATACCCTTCTTAAATGGAATGACTGGCAGAGTCACCACTACTATTTAAATTCTTTTTCTGGCTAAGCGCACATAGTTGAATTTTGTGTATGTCAAGTGAGTGAATGATATGACCACTGTAAAGAGACTGAAAGTCAACTTAGGTGTTTTGAGATTGTCAGGTTTTAGTCTGAAGTGTCAGTTATTAGTGCACTCATGGCCAAAGAATGACAAGACACACCATAGTAAGGCAAGCACGAAAATGAGGTTTATTAAAGAGAGAAAGATAGGATTATAGAGCAAGAGCAAGATACAGGTTTACAGAGTGTCATACACACACCACAGACAACGATCAACCCATTGTCTCAGCAAAGGGAGACCAAAAGGAAGGGCGCAAAAAGGGACTTGGTTATGATTCTGCATCTTGGTTTATAGCGCCTCGGTGGGGACTCCCTAGTGGTTCAGACGTCACCATGGAACCACTTTGGACAGTTGAGAGTTGCATTACTACGCATGTGGGTTGTTCTAGGTCAATTTTTGGACTTTCTGGTACCTATGCTGCTTGGCCTGTGGGCTAGAGAGTCCTCTGCGTTCTTTTCCAGCTGGCACACTAAGTTGATTGGCAGATTGGTAGAGTAGTCCCTCCTCCCCAGGTATGGCAGTTGCTCAGGAGATTAAGGTGGGGCAGGACCAAGATGGGGGCCTTCTTCCCAGTTGGGACAGTTGCACCAAAGCAACAGCGCCCACTTCTGTCCCCAGGAGACCTGGAATCTCTCACTATCTACCTAACAAAACTTCAGTGTAAAAGAGGAAAGTAGAACATGTGAGCAGAAAAGGAGCATACATATAGAGGCCTCAGAAAATAAAGTATATTTGACAGCAGCAGCTTTTTTTCCAAAGTCCTCCAAGACTGAAAATGAGAAAGTGTAACAACACGTGAAGAAGCTGTTCAAGATGAAGTATCAGCAATATATAAAGTAAATAAAGCTAACTGTAAAACATATAATTATAATTTTGAGTAAAATATATGCAAAACTTTTATGAAACTTTTTCCAATTCCTAGAAAGATAAATGATTTGATACACAAGAAACAGTAAGTTTAACATTTATGGATTTCACATTCCTGCTTTTTGACTATTCATAAATAACCTGGAAGAATCAACGTACTTGGTATTAGGGTTTTAAGTATGAAATGTCTGATTCCCTTAAGTACTGAATTTGATGGTTGATATCTCTGACATTTCACTTTAACACTTCTTGTTTTATGTTTATTATGAAGTTACGTCCTCAGTGTTTCAAATGCACGTTTGGCTTGTGATTATCTCTCAAAGGTTTTTTTTAGAGCAATTTTTGTGAAACGATGGATAAGTCAAAAATTTGTGTTATTTTCAAATATGACTTCCATCGTGGAACCAGCACTGCACAGACAGCTCTAAACATCAACCAAGTGTTTGGAAAGGATGTGGCTGATGAACACACAGTATGTCAATGGTTTGAGAAGTTCCATTCTGGTGATTTTAATCTTGAAAAGGAGCCACATGGGCAACCTGAGACCAAGGTGGATAATGATGAGCTGAAAGTTGTAGCGGAAGCTAATCCATCTCAGCCTACGTGTGAATTAGCGGCAAGTATTGGACCATTTGAAACAAATGGGCAAGGTAAAGAAGCTGGATAGATGGGTACCTCATGAATTTAACAAGCGTCAGAAGAGAAATCATCCCAAAATTTGCCTTTCTCTGCTGTCATGACATAAAGGCAAACCATTTCTGTACTGTATTGTTACATATGATTAGAATGGATTCTTTTTGATAATCGCAAGCATTTGGCACAATGGTTGGATAAAGATGAAGTGCCCAAACACAGTCTAAAACCGAATATTCATCAAAAAAAGGTAATGGTGTTTGTATGGTGGTTCAGTGCTACTACAGCTTCATGAAACCTGTTCAATCAATTATAGTGGACGTCTACTGCAACCAATTGGATGAAACGATGAGGATGCTTGTGATTAAACAGCCAAGATTGGTCAATAGAGACAGGCCAATCCTCTTGCCAGACAATGCTCCACCATGTCTCACAAACAACACTGCTCAAACTATAGAGACTGGCTTAGAAACTCTCTGTCATACACCGTATTCACCGGACCTTGCACCAACTGACTACTACTTCTTCCAGGCTTTGGACCACTTCTTGCAAGGAAAAATATTCAATTCTCAACAAGCTGTGGAAAATGCCTTTCGCGATTTCATTGCCACTCATTCTCCAGGCTGCTTTGCTGCTGGCATAAACAAGCTACCGTTAAGATGGCAAAACTGTCTATAGTTAGGCGCAATCTTTATCTTTGATTAATTGTACTGCTTCTTGTTTGAGATATAACAAGCTACACTTTTGATTTGAAATTGGACATTTCATATTTAACGACCCAATTTGGCGATCTGGTGTGCAGAAATGAATATGTTAGCTAGGAAGTGTGCCTTGTCAGCTTTCCAGGCTACCCATCTCAGGATAGCTTTGTTTTTCTTGATTCGTTCATTTTTCTCCTTTTTGCCATGAAGTGATAAACACTACTTCTTTCTGAAATGTGACAGTTTGAAAAAAGGTAAACTAAATCAAGACTCGTGTTAAAAATGAATAGGCTGAAGAAATTGGCCATCTTGTCACAAAGCAGGGTTTTTGATACATTAAAAAAATGCGATCTTCCCTTGAGCCCAGGAGTTCACGGCTGCAGTGAGCTAGGTTGCACCATTGGACAATCAGAGCAAGACCCAGTCTCTTAAAAAAAAAAAAAAAACAACTCTATATATAAATAAATAAAAAGAATGAGATCTTTGACACGAACAGAGTTTATCATTTTAAACATGGGGGAAATTAGGCAATGATATACACAAATGTAAAGATTGATAAAGATGTTCCTCTTCTTTACAAATATCAGAGTCATTTGTATTAATTGATTCAAGGAAAATGTGCTGATAAGTAGGCTGCTGTTAATTTCTATTTTTTTCTCTTTTTTTTTATTGAGACTTGAGAAGATGAGCTGTTAATTTCTAGTAAGGAGTCTAAGGAGCTTCAAATCATATAATTTTGGAATAAATAGATTAAAAAGATCTTTTGTCTTTTAACAGTATTAGGATAGTTCTCTAAATATAGGCAAAGCACTGAAGAGTTCCATAGAAGGTGACTAACTATAAATGTATTATACATGACTGGAAAGAAATGGCAAGCAAGACTTCAGAGCTGAGCTATCTTGATATTTTTATCCAGTGTGTGGGGTGTTACACATGCATCACAGCTATAATAGAGCTATCACATGGATCATCTGAAAAACAAGATAGAGATGTTTTAAAGGCTTCTGTGCTTGATTTCTTAGTCAGACGCTGTATTACTTTCCATTCAACGACTATCATCAGAATCCAGATATTAAAAGGTGAATTATTTGAAATAGCTGAGATATAACAGAGAAGTAATTTATTTGAAATTATTTCAGGAAATGGAAGATAAAGTGACCAGTCCAGAGAAAGCTGAAGAAGCAAAATTAAAAGCAAGATATCCTCATCTGGGACAAAAGCCTGGAGGTTCAGATTTCTTAAGGAAACGATTGCAGAAAGGGGTAAGATCTCATGTATAATCTTGAAATACTTAATACCTGTGAACTCAGTGTGCTAACAGAGATTGTGAAATGAGTGCATATGTAGTTCTATGCCTTATCAGGTGTGTGTGTATGATTTTTCCCAGTATTTTACAGTTTATTCTATAAATATGCATGGTAAGAATCTGTAGCTCTTTAACATTTTTAATTATAAACTATGTCAAGCATGTAGAACAATGCAAATAAAGGTATAACAAAACCCATGTATACACCACCCAGATTTAATGTTAATGTTTTGCCATGTTTACTTCAGTTTTATCTTTGTAAGAAAGAAAATGTTGTAGATACAGTTCAAACTTACCTATCCTATGTGTATATATAACCCCTTCCCTCCATCTCTCCAAAAGCAACCACTATTCAGAAGCTGGTATTTATCCTTCTGCTCTTGTTAAATTTTTACCTATATTGAAGGTTATTCCCACACAACATTTAAAGACTTAAAATGCATTTTATTTGGATGAAGTAATCACTTATAAAAGCACGGCTTACAATCCCCTTTATGTAATATGTTTCACAGTCGGATACTCTGATATAATTTATATGTTGTAGTTTTAGTAGTGCAAATTACTGAAAACATTTTTTTCAGAATCTTGCTGTGCTTTATGAGGTAGATACCATTATTTCTCAATAATGAGATCTGAATTGAAATAATGCCTACTGTTTGTTCCTTAAGTTTTCCCTTCTAACCCCTTCTAGAATAATTTTTTTCTGTAAAAAATTAGATTAAGCTTTCGCTTAAGCATATTTAAATTTACCATACGGGGAAGGATGAAATATTATTTATGGAAGAGAATTGTTTATTGACTAAGATGCCAAATCATGTTTTTCCTTAAATACTTAAATATGCTGGTACCTGCTACTTGCTTACAAAAATGTGTCTCTGTGTGTATATTTTAGCTATAGTTATATATGGATTGTTTTCCCAAATAAACCAAATTCCAAAAGAATAATTTTAACAAATATTTTAACATTTTAAAGTGGCAAAAATAGAATGTATTTTTAATCTTACATGAAAGAATAACATTCACAGCTTTTAAATAATAGGATGATGAGGGAAAATTATACCAAATGTATAAAAATGTAAAACCCTGTATTATGAAACATGATCAAGTTGGGAAATTATTACAAAAATGGTAGTTAATATCTATAATACATAAAAGAGAACTTTAAAATATAAAAGAAAAACATTAAAATGTCCCTGGATAAAATAAAAGAAATATAATTAATAAACACAGAAAGATGATAGAAATCAATGAAATGTAAATTATATCATAGTGTACATATGACTAAATTAGAAAAATATTTAAAATAATACCTATTAGTAAGGTTGAAGTTCAGTGAAACTAATATGCTCTTTATTATGTTTAAAACCTTAAAATTAATATTGTCATTTTGGAAAGAGGTATGGATCAAGATTTATAAAAGTGTTCCTGATCTTTGAATGAATAATCTCTTAGGAATTAATCTAAAGGTATACTACAATATAAGGAAAAAATATTCAAGTTTGAAGATATTCCTTGTTGCTTTAACTATAAATGGAAGCATCACCACTATCCAACAGCAGGAAAATGGTGAAATAAATTGGAGTAAATCAGCAAAATAGAGTATTAAAACATAATTATAAAGATCATAATATAGGGGATAAATAGAAAAGCAGGATGAGAACTATGTTCATTATGCATCTAGCTGTGTGGAATGTACATATACCAAGTCTAATTATAAAACAATCCCATCAGGCGTCTTTAGTTATGAAATAAATTATATAATCTTGACTATTATATAATCTTGTGACTATTCAATTGGGTTTGGGATTTGATTGATTATATGTTTAGGAAATGTTTCCTTGCTAATCTCTAGCATAATTTAGGCTAATGGGCTTTCTTTCAATATTGGGGCTGTTGTAATTTTCCTTTAGCTTTCAACTATTTGTGACTTTACGTGTCTTCAAGTCAGAATTTATACACGTTGTATTTTGAAGTTGGTGTTACAGTTGTAAATAATTGAGAATGAAAAACATACCAGTTGAAACAATATTTATATAGAATTTGAGAAGTGAACTCTTGAATGATTATGTATAGTACCAGAATGTCAATGAATAAGTTCTTTAGTATTAGGAAAATGAAGTTTGATCTTTTTAAAAAAAAAGTCTGGATAATGGGCTTCTGGGTTTTAGTTTTTCTGTGTCATTAGTTAGTAAGCTTGGCAAGTTACCTTGGCATCTTTAAACAGTATATTCTTCATTTGAGATGGTTGGATTTGACATTATTATATTGGGTCCCTTTTTGTGTTGTACTCATTAATGTTATTGTGAGGTTAATATTATATATTGTTATTATTAGCTTTTAACAGTGACTACGTAGACTGTCAGAGCTGGGAGGGATATCAAGAAGCAACCTAGCCCGTGTTTTTTTCATATTTGTGGAGTTTGTGAAGTCCAAAGAAAACGGAGGGTCCAGTTTTAAGAAACATGGCTTTAAAGTTAAACATTGTCATTTTAGGTGATGGCTTAGGGTCAGTGCAGTAACAATATAAATATGGCCTATAAATTTGGGTGGGAGGACGCTTTTATAAGATTTTCATCCAGAAACATCCAGAATTTGTTTTGTTAATTTTTAAATATTTTCATTTAAAACTTGCAAAATTTAGACAAAATAAGATTCTGACAAAATAAGAAATTTAATAGGCTACTCTGTTCTCCTCCAGTGGCTACTGAACTCAGAAGCAGAGCAGGTTTTGGTTTTTGTTTTTGCTTTTGTTTTTGAGACGGTCTTACTGCTACGCAGACTGGAGTGCAGTGGTGCCATCGTAGCTCACCATAGCCTTTAAATGCTGCGAGCCTCAGGCGATCTCCCTTCTGAGCCTCCTGAGTAACCAGGACTACAGGTTCGAGCCACCATGCCTGGCTAATTTTTTATTTTCTGTAGACATGGGGTCTTGCTGTGTGGTCCAGGTTGGTCTTGAACTCCTGGCCTCAAGCAGTCATCCCACCTTGGCCTCCCAAAGTGCTGTGATTATAGGCATGAGCTACCACACCTGGCCAGAAGTTCTTCAATATAGTACATCAAAAATTCTGAATTTCTTTCTCTCCACTCATTTTAAAACATGCAGAAGTGCAGTTGCAGCAAGCCTGAGAAGGGCCTAGTCCAAGTTTCCTTGTTCCTAATCTGTATGGTACTTGTGTAGTGACACATGAAAAACAGTTTCTAACTTTAGATCCTTTGGCCATAGGTCAGATCTGGCTTATCAAAGAATAGTCCCTAGAGGGAGGCAGCTGATGAGACCTTTTCCGAGTCCACTCAACAGTGTTGTTTGTACTAAGTTCCCAGCTATTTCATTTTATCACAGGAGGTATCCCTGAAGTCTCTAAGAGAATATTTATATATATATTTTTTCCCTTTGTCTGGGCCCACATTTCATACCTGGTTTATTTCCTTTTGCCAACCCCAGACTGAAGCTAATTTCCCCTGCTTTATAGCACCTTGTCTACTTAACATAGTATTATAATAGTGGCTTTACTTGACTATTGTCCGTCTTTATGTCTGTGTCCAGCTCTCACACGGTGACTCATGCATAGCAGGCATTCAGTAAAGGTGGGCTCAGCACGATAGGTGTAAGTGAGAACCTAGGCATATTCATCTGTTTTCAACTGTAGAACTCAAGTAGATTAGTTATATTAATGTTGATCTTCAGCTCTCATCACAATTTATATTTTAGTGATAAAGGCCAACTAAAAAGAGCAATAATTGTACTTATTCAGTGTCTTAAGTGATAACTAATTTATACTGAGTTTTCTTCCATTACTCTAACATTTATATTTTTACCTTAATTTTGATTTTAGTGAATTAGGTAGTTCAAATAAATATGATTTAAATTCTTGCAAAAAAGCTCATCTTAGACAAGACAGTACTAGCAACTATAAATAATAGTTTCAATAACTAAGTTTGATTGGATTTGGGTGGCACATCCTATAGGTAAGTCAATGAATTATGTGTTTTATTTACAAATTTATTTAAGCAGTTTGACCCTGGTGGTTCTGTTAGTAAATCAAAGGTAAATCTATTTTACTTTGAGTCCAGGACTTTTGATTCCAAGAAGGCCTGAAGAGGAAGTTTTTGCCTGACTTCTCAATTGTTGACTTATGCAGGAACTCTATACAGAGATATAGCTATTTCATTTTTAATAGCTATAGCTATTTCTAATTAATATTCCTGTTTAAATTTTTTAGGTCAGCCTATTTTATGCTGACAGTATAGAGTCACATCTACATGTTAAATCAGTGTAGTTACATATGAAAGCTTTTAAACTCTAATCTGGATTCTTTTTTTTTTTTCTTGTAGCAAAAATATTTTGATTCTGGGGATTACAACATGGCTAAAGCAAAAATGAAGAACAAGCAACTTCCTGCTGCAGCCCCGGATAAGACGGAGGTCACTGGTGACCACATTCCCACTCCACAGGACCTCCCTCAACGGAAACCATCCCTTGTTACTAGCAAGCTGGCTGGCTGATTAAAAGAGCTGAACTGCATGAATCTTCGAATTCCCATTATTTCTCCTTAATATGTTACTTACCCTCTTTTTATTTACTTTCACTAAGTCATTTGAGACTGACAGCTTTGCAGGTAGCAGTAGTGCGTGCTGCTATTGTAAGGGAATATACATGTGTAGGGTTTTTGATTAGTTTGACAGTGCACTGATGAAAAGGACATGTTAGAGCTACGTAAGTAATCTACTTGAAAATAATTGTATATATTACCTAACTCCTAGTATAGGGCTGGTTCCAACAAGTAACAAGCAAGTTTTAAAGTTTTAATGTTTGGCTTTCATTACTTCATCTTAATTATAGCTTTGTATGTTACTCTTATTTAATATAACTTACATTGTATGGATTTCTTCTGTATTTTCCTTTTGGATTTTGTAAAACAGATGTTTAAGACCACAAGTTGGAAGAAGGTCACGTATTTCAAACACAAATAGATGGGGCTCTGAAAGATTTGTATCTCTGTGCTTGAACTTGAATGGCCTTAAATCTGTTTCAGCTTTAACAGTAGAATTTTACTTGGGCAATATTTGCCTTCTTGGTGTAACTTATGTGACTCTAGTGCTTAACAGCTCCTGGTGAAGCTAGTATTCTTACTCAGTTCTGTAGTTCTAGAATACCTTTTGTTGTTGAAGATGTGAATGAAGTGTGCATGTGCATCGACTGTTGAATTCACTTTTGTGCCATTTTTGTAAATACAATAGTTTTGCACAACCTCTCACAAATGTCTGTATTAATTTCACATATTAACAAGTAAATGTATACTATCACATGGGCCATTAAAAAAAAAGTAAATGTGCCAACCAGAAGCACAAGAGTTTCTACACAAAACTCTGTATGTCATTACAGCTTTTGTATAGTAAGAGTAGTTTACAATTTCAGGCTTATAGAATACCAAACTGAAATCTTTGTTTTGTCTGCCATAAACGTAAACTTTTCATTTGTTACTAGTATCCATGACATTCAGTGGCCTTGTGCAAATATGATATGTTGCTTAGGCATATCTTTTGTCCTATGCAGAACTTTCATTTGGACTTTTATGAAAGCAATTCATATAATTTATATAAACCTTTTTAATGTAGAAACTTTTTACTTCCACACTCAATTTTGGAGACACTAGAGTAAAAGGCTTCAATAGTCTGCCTTCTGTGCACCGACACCCATCCCCCACCCCCACTTTTTTTTTCTTTTTTTGTGGTGCTTTTTTGATTCAAATGGTATTGGGCTGTTTGGTTATATGGAAGCATAGGATAGGTGTCTATGTCCTTACTCTTGAAATTTGCTCTGCTGAATGCTGTATTTTATAACACATATAATGATGTTTTCCTTCTAATTTCTCAGTTGTTAATTAACCACTCTTAATCCTTTAGTATTACTAATATTTGACAATTAAATAAAAGAAATTTTATAAGGAAACAAATAGTTGAGAAGACTGGCCCAGGAACCTATGTCAAGATGAGCTGAATTTTGGTAAATAATTTTAAGTAATTATGATGAGCTAAGTGAATTAATTTTGTGACAATTAGAGTAATTTACATGACAGGTCAAACTCATATTTAAAATATTTAGATATTTGCTTCTGTAGGTGTTACTTTAATAAAATACCAATTTAATTTTACTTGTAGTTTATCTAGTTAGTAAGAACTTTAGTAGATTTTATTGGGACAAGCTTACTGCTCTTTTGGGACCTCTTCCTGTAAGTTGTTGTAATGTTGTAGCGTGATAATCAGGATCAATAGCTTGAGCTGATACTATTTTTCTCTTCATCTCTGACTTGCACAGAGCCTCCCCTCTTTTGGGTCCAGGCATCTTTTCTGGATCTTGGTTCCATTTGTATACTTGCTTTCCTATGATCCCAAATCATAGTAGATGGTGCCTTGAATATAGCATCTGCACTTAAAGGCTGCCTAGTGCTCTGAGGAAAGCTTGCTAATTATTTTCTTACTCTACCCACCCCAAAAGGCAGAAAAGCAGCAAAATCAGTACTGTGTTCATACGTAATTTTAAGGATCAGTTATATATAAATGTATTTGTAATGAGAGCAAGTAGGTTTTTCCATAATATGTATACTCATTATAGGATCAATTTAAGAATTTTAAAATGTCCCAAAGTAGAATTTCTATTAGATCTCATCTTTTGTTTCTTCATGAATATTTGCAAGCTATCACCATTAAATTCATACATCAAAGAAAATTAATCTGAAAGATCAGAGAGACCATGTTATTCCTGACCATGATAGGATGACTCCTGTGGTTTGGGACAAGTGACATAACGTCTGCTTGATTTTAGTTTGTAAAATACACTGCTAATATTTGACCTACCTCAAAACTTATTGAGGATCTGTGAAATGTTGAGTAAGTGCCCAAAATAAAATATTATTGATTGTCTTTTTATTAAAAGTAAATCTCCTCATTAAACCAACCTGCCTTCTGTAAAGTCACAGTGCTTAAGTCTCAGGATTTTTCATTAGGAAAGACCTGTCATTAAGGATTTGTAGGTTTAATTGCTTGGCCTCCATTATTGGTGCTTGAGATAGAGAGGTTTTAGATTTTTCTATTTTTTTTGTTCTGCCTCAAAGCTCAGTTTATTTGAAGACATTTTTGAAGGCTGTTTGATCCTCACTTGAATGGAGATTTTGACTAGCTGAGTTTAATTGTCCATTTCTATGATTTCAAAGTTGTGGTTTGAGAAATAGCTAATTTTAATCATTGTCCTGTTCATCACAAATTAATGTTGGAGTAAACTTAAGTTGGAGATAAATACTTCATGAAAACTGGCTAAAGTCTGAAATAAATTACCTGTTTCATGTCCAGTAGCTCCTACTTTTCATAGTATAGTTTTGAGAAATATTTCATTCTTGAAGGCAGCATCTCACTAAAACAATTATAGTTGTTGGCAAGTTGGAAATAGTAAAGATTGTTGGATCGTTTTGATAAATTGGAAGGAACATGTTTATAGTCTACAAGTTCAATAATCTTGTGCTGTTGACCCAAAAATATGTGTTAACTGTTCATCAAGGCAAACCTGGTAAAGGCTTTACTTGTTACTACTTCAACAGTTGGAATTAGTTGCTCTTTTTACTTGATGAAACAAAACTATACCTCTGAATATTTATGGATGTTTTTTACTAAATCAGACTTGTATTCTTTCTCAGTCCAAATTAGTGAAGTTTTATCAAAACTTAAATGTAATACTGTAGTCCCCCTTTATCTGAGGAAGATACATTACAAGACCTCTGATGCCTAAAACCTTGGATAGTACTGGACCCTTTATATAGTATGTTTTTTCTATCTGACAGCCAAGATGGCTACTAAGTTACTAATGGGCAGGTACCATAGCCTGGATACACTGAAGTGATGATTCATGTCTCGGATGGCACAGAGCAGGAGGGCACAAGATTTCATCATGCAACTCAGAACAGGATGCAATTTAAAACTTACGAATTATTTCCAGAATTTTCTATTGAATATTTTCAGACCGAGGTTGCTATACATAACAAACCATGGGAAGTGAAACCACTCATAAGGGAAGACTATTATATCTACTCAAATTGTGCTCTAAAATTGGTATTTGGTGATCATGAGCAGATAACCTATGGGAAGAGCACGTCTGAGTGGTAACCAAAGCAGTTTCTCCAGTGGCCTTTTCGCATTCCCCAACAAACATATTCCACTTTTCATTTTCCTTCCTTCACCTCGCTTTGCCTCACCCTCTCATCCCTACTTATCCCTTAAGCCCACTGACGGCACCTATTAAATGGTGTTTAGGGCTGATGAATGATTGCTTCTTAATACCTTTTCCAATATGCCACAATTTAGGACACATTTTTGATTTTCTAAAACACTGTCTTAATCTGGATAATTACTAATTTGAGCCACTGTTCCAATTCTATCTCAGCATGCACTGCCAGTCTTCCCGCATCTCTTTTCTCTTACTGATTCCCCACCACAACTTGTAAGATTGGGATCAAAGAAGTCTTACTCTGTTATTGTTACAAAAACACTGATTTTATACTGCTTTACTAGTTTCAGCGTTTTAGGTAGGTAGGCCTATAGGGTTTATTCTGCAAATCACTGGTGGTCATGATAGCCATAAATGTGTGTTTGTATTATGTTATTTATCAACTAAATAGTTGGAATAAAACATCTGTTTCTTTAATATTATGCCCTTAAGTCTGTTACTGCATCTCCAGGATTTGTGATGCAAGAGGGCACTTTGCCTGTATTTAAAAGGGCCAAGAGTAAATGCCTTTCTTTGTTAAACGTGTCTATAGAGTTGGCAGTTAATGCTGAAATTTGTCAAATAGCCCTTCCAAAATTATACTTGTGAAATATACAAAAAATAAACTATCTACCTAATTTCTATTGATGTAATTTGCAGTTTTGTCTTATTTAAGTGTTATATTTTTCAGCATACTTTTTATAAAGTTGATCCCTTTAGATTTCAGCTACTACTCTATGTAGAAAGAAGTTGACTATTGTAGTGTTAGGTTTTGTTTTAATTTAAATAACGTGTTAATGGTATCCTAGCAGTCTTAACTTTTTTATTTGTAAAGGCTTTGTACTTAAACATTTGCAAATTGTCTTTTCCATCTCATGTTTAAAACACTGTAGTACAATAGTATTGGATATAGAAAGATGAATGAGACAGCTTACATTCTGAGAAATGAAATATATATACAGCAGGTCCTCAAATAACGTTTTGTTCAACAGGGTTTTGTTATAACAATGAGAAAAAAAAAATCAGTTCCCGGCTGGGGTCAATGTGTGGAGTTTGCAAGTTCTCTTCATGTCCGCTTGGGGTTTTTTCTGGGTACTCCAGTTTCCTCTCTCATCGCAAAGGTGTGTATATTAGGTTAATTGGTATGTCTAAATTGTCCCGGTCTGAGTGAGTGTGAGGGTGTGCCCTGAGCTGTGGGGGCAGGCTCCAGCCACCTGCCACCTGCGCCCCTGAACTGGAATAATTGGGTAAATAATTATTTTGTTTTTATTAATCTTTCTTAAATGTATGTATAGCTCACATTTATTTCAATGTTTAATATTAGAAATGTTTGACCATTTAGAAGTTTTGTGAGGTTTTAGAGACCAGAAATATGCCATAAGTATTTAACTCTTGTTTATATCAGTTAACCTAGTGTGGAGTTGGTTTTGTTATACATCATTTCACTTAAATGGTTCATAGGTTCAGATTGCAAGAACCTATGAACAACATTAAGTGAAGACTTAACTCTATGTATATAATTTAATGCAAGGTAGAAAATACTACATTCTTTAAGAGAGGAAGAAACAGAATTCCAGGAAGTCTAGACTAGGGATGAGTTACTCAACTTACAGGATAAATAGAATGAGTGGTAGATCAGGGAAGAGTTTTAGAGATGACTTTGAGAGATGGGTTACTGTAGGGGTCGGGGCAGGGAGGTAGAAGCGAGGAAGAAGAGCATTTTAAATAGAAGGAATGTTATTTTCAAAAAGGCAAGGAGTCGGGAAAATAGGACCTGTATAAGGAAGTTTGGTGGGAGAACATGGCATATGCAGGAACTTGATTTTTCTCCCTTAAACCTGTTCTTTCTTCCATTTTTTCAACTCGGTAAATGATACCACCATACATTTACCCACTCAGGTACTCACACCAACCTTGGAGTCATCCTTAGTTCCTCCTGTGAGGAGGCAGTGACCAACATCCACCAAAATATACTGGATTTGTCCATTTCTCTTCACTGCTGGCA